GCCCACACCTGACCTCCCTTCTTTCAGCAGATGCCTTGCCATTTCTGTTTATGGAGAGATGTTTGCTTGTTGCTTGAACTTTCTCAACGTCTCACCCTCTCAGCTCCAGTTCAGGTCTCTTGGCTTTTCTTGACTGTTGGAGAGAAAGGATGTGTCTTCGGCATTCCTACTCGAGTCCTCAGACTCCTCCTCTGTCCTCTCCTCAAAACTTCCATTCAGCGGACATCCTATTGCTTGGATTTCCATCTCTCCATCTTTACTGATGCCCTCCTTTCAAGTGAAAACCAGAGCGAAATGGGACCATAAAAAATGAAACCTTAAAAAAGCTCAAAGGAAACACTAGTTAAAATGTTTACCTAGAGGTGGCATCGGCTAAAACTACAAACATGATGAAATAAACCTCTACTTTCTATAAATGTAGAGGACAGGTAGGTACTTATGTTCTTAAGGACTTAGAAGATTCATATTCTAAGAAACCATCCAGCTGTTTGAAGGCCCAACCTCAGCATCACAGAAGCTCAGCAGTCCCACTGAGTGAGCAAAAGCCAAAGGATGGTACCCTTGTTTATGCAACATACATTGTCAAGGGTTAAGCAGTCCTTACCTGGTAACTTTTACATTAGATTGTTTTCTAAAAATGCCTTTTTGTGTTATGTGCAAAATTAAGTCGTCTTCAAAGAAAGGGTTTATCCATTGGACACTTTGGTATCTTTCTTCAAGACCGCACTGATTTTGTGCTTTCACCCAAATAAGAGTAGACTCTGCTCATCTTAAAAGTCATTTTTATGACTCAGGGAGACCGAAACATTAGTATACATTTTTCTAAGGATCCAGGAAGTGTTCTCTCTCACCAGGGATCAATATAATCTTCTACTACAAGCGGAATTTGGAAAAGGAGTAAATTTGATTCATACATTCACCAATAAATACTGACGGAAGGCCTCCCGTGTAGGCACCGTACTAGGCGTTATGAGGGACAGAGGTGGCTCCAAAGATAAACCAGATATGGACTCTGCCCTCAAGGCATTCACACGGTGCTGGGTGACAAGACACAGACATGTAAATAATTATGGTACAGGATAATGATTCATGCCATAAGTGAGGCAAAGACACCTAACAGATTTCACAGGAGGAAGTGACCAACCTTAAAAATTTGTGCATCAGCAATTTCCTTACTTCATTTTCAATTCCAAAGCCCTAGTGCATATCTGTCTGTGGGAGACCATCGAACGTAGTAAAAGTTACTATTGAAGAATCCCTAATAGAAAGTATTCAAACTGTGGCATCTTTCTGGTACTCGTACCAAGGTTCAATAATACCCACCCACATGACTACCTGACGTCCTGAGGGTGGTATCTTCTAGATGGGGCTGGGTCAGGGTAGTAATTGCCATGCATTTATGGGGCACTGCAGCTTTAAAAGCAGGTTTCCATCCATTATCTGCTAATTATTATCCCCAAGGACAAGCTGGCACCATTTAGAGTGCTGCTAGGACACCAGGGTTCTAATTCCGCTCAGTTCTCTCTGATGCAAAATGAGGGGTTTGGTCACTAGATTCTCTCCAAGGTTCCCCATGTAGCTAGGTGGGTAGGGCAAATTTTATTATCACCATTTTATAGACCAGGAAACTAAAGTGAGGAGAGCTCAAGGGACCTGCTGATAATAATTGATATCCGGTTCTTGAGATTAGACACCAGACCTGTAAAGGACAAAGTATTTTGTACTATGTCATACTGAGAACCACTCCCAGTATTTGTGGGCAAGAGGGCAAGGAGAGGCCCACATGGCAGTAATCTAAGTATTTAAGTTATAAATCAAGATAACGAACTGTTAACAAAATATGTTCGATCTATCCTCCCACCCTGACAAATACCTCTTTACAAGAACCTGGATGGCGAGGTGTGAATCATGAATTCCTGGACTCTTCTTAGGAGGAGGCTGGAAAGGGGCAGGGAAGGGAAAGCTGACTCCACTGAGCCCTCTTCTGGCGCCTAGTAGGGGCCCAAAGTGCCTGGGAGTACACACCTCAGCCCACAAGTCCAAGCACTGCCCACACTCCAACAAAGAGCCATTCCTGGACCCAAGACTGAGTTCAAAGGTCCAACCAAGTCCTGGAGGAGGGTTTGGTACTCTTTGGGCAGAGGATTCTAGAATTGTGACTCCCTGCGGCATGGTCTAGAAGAGGGTTCGCGTTCCTTGACCCCATGGGAGGGGGGCATTACAAGAGAAGAACCACATGGTAGAGATCCCCTCTTGCTTGGGTTTAAGAGACAGTCTGATCACACTACCTGAAGACTGAACCTAAGAAAGAGTAAAATCTGGGAACTGTCTTGTGAGAAGGTAGTATGGCTTAGTAGTTACAAACCAGGTTCTGCAGCTAAACACCTGGGTTGGGATCCTACCTTGGCCACCCACTGGCTGGGAAATCACAAGCAAGTTACCCAGTATCTTCTAGGACCTCAGTTTCTTCATCTTTAAAATAGATATAATAATTATTATGTGGAGTATATGAGACATGTAAAACGTCTGCCAGACATTTAACGCTGGGTAAATAAATGTTGTGGGGGTTCTCTTCAGCTGCGTTGGGTGAATATGCCTTTGAGAGGTTTTTCTGGAGAATTACATAAGCATAGTTATCTCCAGGCTCTCTGATAGTCAAGGTTAAACCTTTCTCTCCGCTAAAATAGTGGGGCCAGGGGCAGGGGTCCGCACCACCTACCTCACCCAAGGCGGTGGCTGCCGCCCACGTCCCGCCAGGTCGGGTGGCGGGGGACTTCACGCTGCAGATTCTGAGCTACAGCCAGGAGCTCGGGAAAGGTTAACTCGCAAACGTGGCCGTGAGTCACGGCGGGACTAAGGAACTGAAACCAAACGTTAGCACACAGCCTGGTTCGTCTGTCTGATGCGCAAGGGGAGTGGGAAGTAGCATCGGATAAAAAAAAAAAAAAAAAAAAAAAGGCAAGACTCAGAGCCCGGGTTGACGCAGCTCAGTCCCCTCCTACCCGCTTCACATTAGGGCTCATGCAAACTTCGCTGAGTCTTCTGACAGGTCTTGACATCTCTCCTCCGCGAGGAAGGAGGAAGACTCTGAGCAAGTCGAGACATCTTCCTCGCACCTCCCGTGAAGTGCGAGCCCAGCCAAATTTGCAGACTGCCCGCCCAAAACGAAGACGTTTTATAAGGGCAAGCCTGGGCATTCCCCCACCCCTCCGAGTGACACGAATTCAAAGTGGCTCATTTCCACATCCTAGTCCCCCACTGCCCTCCCTGCAAAACACTTGGCAACTTTGCTGTTGCTTGTGGACCAAGAACTGTAACTAGACCTTTCTGCTCCCTTTAAGGGACAGTCGTGACTGGGTACCCCGAAGTCAGACTCTCTCGAAAACACCAACAAAGAACTATATTTAGCTCTGAGCTCTCCGCCTAAATTCTTCTTATTTTTTCACTCTGAGCTTCAAAACGACTAGGTTGGGGAAGTGGGAGGAAGGGGGCGGGGGAGCAGCAGAGAAAGAACAGCTGTGCCTCCGCCTCCCAACTCAATCTCTATAAATAACCAATCATGAGCCGAGGCTACTTTTTAGCCAATGAAGCAACCCAAACTGGTAAAACCTTGGCGGTAACCAATGGAACAAGAGTTAGGGGTGTGAGATTTGCGCCCCGGAACCAATGGGCCCCGAGTCTGGGAGAGGTAATTTGAGCTGGAGTGTGGGTGTGTGGTGCAAAAGCTTCCTATTTCTAAGCCCGAAAACCTGTTCTGCCCACTGAGCATGCCCTGACTAGCTGCAGCCGCCGCCACGACTTTTGGATTGGGTTTTAGTCCGACCTCCGGGTTTCCGCCCCAGCCGAGTGGGGACGTGGGTGGGACGCGCCAAGTCTCAGCCCCAAGAGAGCTCCGGTCACGAGAGGCAACCCCTTCCCCTGTCGGGACAGGATTTCAAGCCCAGAGTTCCCGTTTTCTTTGTCGAGGAGATGAACTGCAGGAGGAGTGGCCAGAGAAGGCCGAGTAGTGTTTCCGAGGCGAAGGGTTTAGAAAAAGCTGCACCGTGGGTGGGCAAAGATACTCCACCCGCTGCTCTCGCACTCAAATGCCCTTTGCGTCTCCGGCCCTGAGACGGCGCACACTCGCTACGGGCTCGGAGAGTGTAGTCCACAAGCTTTTGATAACGGGAGTCCGCAAGAGCACAGCCCAACCCTTTACGGGAGCGGCCCATCGCGCCCACGCCCTCCTCGCAGAGCCACCGCCCTTATGCACGAACCCATCCTCCCACACCTTCATCCTCTCACCTGAGCTTTCCCAGCACCCCTCAAACACCTACACACTCCCACACATTTCTCATCCAACTCCTGGACCAGAGCCTCTCGCAATCCGCTCCACCAAACTCAAATCTTTAGCCCCACCCTCAGCCCCGCCCCCGCCCGGCCCCCCGGAAAACCAGGAGCGGCGGATCAGCCGGGCGCGGCCGTCGGCGCACTGGGCATGCTCGCCTGGGCGGGGAGGGCCGGGCTGCGCGCGGCGAGTAGGAAGCCCTCGCCCCGCGGAGGCTGCGGGAGAGAGAGCGCGATGGGCCGCGGCGGTGGGCGCACGCTCTACGGGGACTCATGCCACGCGCGTTGAGGGCCGGCGCGCAATTAGCAGCCACCTCCGCAGCCCACCGCCACCACCTTTTCGCCCTCCCGGGTGGTCGCGACGAAGAGCTGCAACCGTCGCCTCGCACGGGCTGCCGGCATTGTCCTCCCGGTCCGCCGCCAAGGCTACCGCTTGCCGCCGCGGGTTGCTGCGGGGCCCCGGACCCGCGCCCCGGGGACGCGCCGCCTTCTTCGCCAGCCCGGCCCCCGGCTCCCGGCCCCCGTTTGGTGATTTCTGAGCCCTGCGTTTCCTAGCCACTCTCTCCTAGGTTTTTCCTGCAAGGCTGAGGAAGAGGAGAAGTCGTCCAGCCGCCAAGCCTAGGCTTTCTCCGGCGCGCAGCCCCGACGGGGCCGCGGCAAGCGCCGACGGAGCCATGAGAGAGTACAAAGTGGTGGTGCTGGGCTCGGGCGGCGTGGGCAAGTCCGCGCTCACCGTGCAGTTTGTGACGGGCTCCTTCATCGAGAAGTACGACCCCACCATCGAGGACTTCTACCGCAAGGAGATTGAGGTGGACTCGTCGCCGTCGGTGCTGGAGATCCTGGACACGGCGGGCACCGAGCAGTTCGCGTCCATGCGGGACCTGTACATCAAGAACGGCCAGGGCTTCATCCTCGTCTATAGCCTCGTTAACCAGCAGAGCTTCCAGGACATCAAGCCCATGCGGGACCAGATCATCCGCGTGAAGCGGTACGAGCGTGTACCCATGATCCTGGTGGGTAACAAGGTGGACCTGGAGGGCGAGCGAGAGGTCTCGTACGGCGAGGGCAAGGCCCTGGCCGAGGAGTGGAGCTGCCCCTTCATGGAGACGTCGGCCAAAAACAAAGCCTCGGTGGACGAGCTGTTCGCAGAGATCGTGCGGCAGATGAACTACGCGGCGCAGCCCAACGGGGACGAGGGCTGCTGCTCGGCCTGCGTGATCCTCTGAGGCGCCCGCGGCTGCCGCGCGCCGGCCGCGCTCTGCGCACAAAAGCCAAACGCACCCGACTCTCTCAATGTGATTTCTCTTCTTGCTTTGAGATTGGAGACGACTTTGCATTGGCCGGGGTGTCCCGGGAGCCCGGCTGGCCTTTGCGGCCGGCGCCCCCTGCCTCCGCCCCGTGTCCGAAGGGGTTTCCCCGTCCTCACCATCCGAGACCCGGTGGAAATGTGGCTCTTGGAAGCATGTACGTTTCTCATTGATTTTGGTTGACGGATATTTCCCCGTTTAAATAGCCGTTAGGGCGCTGTATTGGCAGCTTGACACCAGCAAGCGAAAGTTTCAGCCTGGAAAAAAAAAAATGGGGTGGGGAGGAAGAGTACGGGGAGAAGGTGGAAAGGGAGGGGGGATTTTTTTTTTTTTTCCCCAACAACCCTTTTCTAGTTCCAAGTTTTAAATACATGGAAGGAAGTCCGGGAGAACCAAATGAAGGAGCAGGAGGAAGGGAAGAAACTTTTGTTTTTTCCTTGTTTTCCAGGAGTAGCTGGAAATTAAGATCGGGTTCCTTTTCTGCCAGCTTGGAAGGGCAACCCTGTGACTGATTGTGATTCTAAGGATGTCTATGCAAAGTTGGATTCTTGTTACAGTGTATCCAATCTGAAGTATGCACATCTGAACTGGGACTGTAAACACTGATGCCAATACAGTGTGGGGTGCCAGAAAGTGTCTGCTGATATTTGTGGAAAAAAAAATCTATTTTGTTTACCTACTGTATCAAAGGGAGTCTGGGGGAGAACGGTAGTATTTTTTTTTTTTTATCAGCTGTGAAAAAAAATGTTACAGATCTGCACATTTTTGTGTGTACTATTGTGTGCGTGTGTGTGTGTTTTTTTTTTTAAGTTTAGCTTTTTGTTCTTTTTGGTTGGCAGTGACAGGTTTTGATGACTAACTCTTTAAAATACAGTACAAAGACTTCAAAAATGTGATTCAGGGCCCCCAGCACCCCTGTGTCTGCAGAGTGCCTTCAAAACTCAGCTGTTCCAGCCGGTGCCAACCTGTGAACTTCCCACCATATCCCAGAATCTGCTATTCCCCAAACCACTTCCTAGTTTCCTTTCTGTAATCTTCCTGAAGGAGCCAGGACAATAGGGCCTGTTGTTTGGTGAATTTCTTTATTATTTCCAGCCTTTAAAATGTAATTTCCATGTCTTGCAATGGTTTTTTTATTTTCCCCTTATTTCTTTCTGTTTTATTTTGCTTCATTGTGTTCAAATGTTCAGGTATTTAGCTCCCCTTTTATATTATTTTTAAAAATTTTTTTGGTTATCTGTTCTAGGGTGTTCCTCCAGAAGCAAAGAGCAAAGTTTTACTGTTGTGATGTACCAAGAGAATTCTAATTGTAATTTCTAATTCCAGACATGTGTTTAATCATTGTCTCTTCATTTTAAGACTTTTAATACAAATGTCATTTTTAAAGAAACAAACCCAAAACTATTGTTTGTGTTTCTGTGTTTCATATTCAGTGATTTAATATAGGATCATGGCTGAGGTGGATAGGGGTAGGTGCATGATGCCCCCAACAGAAATACCTCAGTGACAAGTTGGGTGACATTACTTCCAACTCCTCAAATATAGAAGAAAATCATAAAGGTCTAGGCAGCTCTGGGGGTATGGCCATTATCATTTGACTACAAGATAGGCAGGATATTGAATCTGTTCTGCTAACAGGGAGGGGTTTCCCTCACTGTGGGTAGAGAAGGGGAGAAACCAACTGCTAATACTGCCTTCGATTTGGTAAAGTCACTCATCACCTGACCAGGCAGGGCAGTGCTTTTAACTTTTCTTTCTTTTCTTTCTTTCTGTCTTTCTTTCCTCTTTTTTTTTCCCAGTGTTTTGTTTTGTTTAATTACATCACATACCAAGTCAAAAACATGTTTTGAGGAAGATCATTTCCACCCCTGAAGTTATACCTAGTAGTGTTTTCTGCAGTACATTTGTATGGGTTGCAGACAGTATCTTAATACTTGAGGTTTTGATTTGAAAATAGGTCATTATATTAAAAAGGGAAAGAAAAAACTAAGATAAACTCCTTACTCCCATTAAACGGCAATTTGTGGACCATTTTGACCTCATGAAATTTTCCTTCTAACAGTAGGAGGCAGTGTGAGCTTTTTACTCTATTTTATTTCGGTTAAGGGCCACCTTACTAATATAACCTGTAGAATAAAATAAAGTATATGACTATACATCAAGAGCACATGAAACACCTTAGCTGTGTGAAGTGTAGGTGAAGTCTTCTGTTGGGGAAGCCAAAAGAAGTTACAGGCCACAGGCATCTTTAAAACTATTAACATCTTGCCTTAAAATGTTCTGTCCTTTGCCCAGGTGACCTGTCACTCTTCCAGCATGGAGGAGGAATAGAGAATTGGCCTGTGATGGTCCTATGGCCATTTTTTTCATTCTTGATCTCACATAAGTTTAGAATCACTCAGTTGAAAGGCAGTATGTATATGATAAATACAGAAATTAAGAGAAACAAATTTATGGCTTTGCAAATGTTAAGTCTTGCATTTGAGTAAATTTAGTTCTTCGGTAGATGTAAAGTGTTGAAAATTCTGAGGACCTATACCAAGTACTATGTGAAGGATCTTTTTAAAAAGACATTTGGTGACTGTTTCTTATGGCTTTGGTTCTTGTTTGTTTCTTTAGAAACCTTTTGACATAAAGCGCTGCCAAATATCTAACTAACTTAAGACATGTATATACTCCTGAAAGGAGTTTGAAAATGTTTGAAAACGGCAAATTGGAAATGAACTAGGTTGCTAGATGCATTAATCATCTTCACACAGGATTTAGTCACTTGCATGACTAAATACTTTATAGGTCTGAGATGCCAGGGCAGAAGATTTTAATACGCTTTTACTGAGTACTGTAAAATAAATGCTTTCTGGATTCTCAATGAAAGCAATTCTGTGTGTGTGCCCGGAGCAGAAATGTAGTAGTTCTGGGTTTTGTAGCTTTCTCCATTATTTTCTTGACAAAACTGAGAGACATTGAGGGCATTGTTTTAAAGAATATGTCAGCTTATTTGGCTAGTAAGAGCCCCTTGTAGTAGTATGGTGTGAAAAGATTGGAGCGTTTGTCTCCATGAAAAAGTTGGGTTGACGTGAGAGTGTTAAAGGAAGCGTGGGAGTTTGCTGTAAGGCAATCACCTGCCCCAACAGAAACTGGGTGGGAAAGGAACCTTTATCTTGGAGAGCAAAAGTTAACTTTTAAATTTGACCCCTGCTGTTTTTTAACAGCTTTTCCTTTTGGTCCCTGTCATCCAAGCTTTGTGTCATTTCAAAGGATTATTGTTGTCCTCCTTTGGTAAGAACCTCAGAAAAATGGAAGGTATCATCATCGGAAGTCTAACAATGTCATGTTTGGGATTTATGGCTTAAGTAAAACAATTTCTCGGTTGTTAACTATAGAAATAGATTTCACCGAATCACATGTTAGGATCAGATCTGTTTGGGGTTACTTTAAAAGTATGAGGCTTCGTGCTTCCTGACTAGTTAAGCTTTTCTGCAGGAGGGGATCCTAAAATGCCTTATTTCTTTGGTCTGTTCTGGTAGTTACATAAATGTTTTCTCCAGCATGTAATTGTACCTTTTGGGTCAAAGTCCAGTATTTCTCACAGGTAGGTTGGGAAAGTGAGAGAACACTGCTCATAGCAGCTGACCTTGAGAAATAGATGCAAGATGTCACAAAAAGTATATATTTAGTTTTCACAACAGCTGGAATAAGCCACCTACTTATAAAGGAAGCAAAGATTTAATTTAGAGATCACCAGTGTTAGTTAAAATGATCTCTAATATTTGTCACACCGTCCACTTAATCGGGAAAAGCTTGCTAATATAAATGTCCTTGTGAAAATGCAGCAAATTTCTAAATACTACTAATAGAATGTGATATTTTTTATTATGAGATTTTACTCAGATTACTAGGAATAATTGAGTGCATTTGATTGAATGTGGTTCTAGTTCCAGAAGATATATTTGATTTAATAACAGTGGATATTGATGGTTTGAGAAGGCTTTAGGATTATGTAGCCAGAGGTTTTTAAACTTGTCTACATATCAAAATCACCTGGAGGTTAAAACAGGTATTGCTGGGCCTTCTAGTTTCTTATATAGTATGTCTCAGTATGAGCTCATAATTTTTATTTCTAACAAGTTTCCTGGTGACGTTGCTACTGCTGTATTAGGGACCACACTTTTGAAAACCAGTAAAATAGTCCAAACTCCAAATAAGTACTATTATCAGGAGCCACCTAGATATTTAGGGACACAGGCCCGTGTCACACATTTTAGAGTACTATCTACCACAAAGTCATAAAATGATTGAAATTTATAGCTGAAGGGGGCATAGACCATTTACAATCAGACTGTTAAACTGTGGAGCGTGGACCAGTATAGACACATTGCCGGTAGAGTGTTTAACCATGTTCACACGAACAGTTTGGCTGTGGTTTCCAGTGTTAACTTCAGAAGTTGACTAAAATGAGAATAGGATCATGGCCTAAATCATAAGAATCAACATTTCTTCCCTTCAAAAATTTTGAAAAGAATGTCTTAGTATTTGTCTTTTCTTTGTTGCAAGATTAAAAAGCAAGGATTTTAACTTTCCACATATCCCAGCAAGGATTCTAAAAAAACACAAAACAAAACAAACTAGAGAATTTAAGACTTCAGGTCATGGTAAGCACATGTATATGTCATATGTGTGTATGTAAATACACACAGTTTCTTAGCTGGACTTCCCAGGAATCCGGTCAGTGTCTTGTGGTTGCACAGTTACTCGTTCTGGGACAGTGCATACCATAAACCTGCCACACATCTTGTTTTCTTATGCATTTTAATCTTTTGGAAGAATGAGTATTAATTTGTTTTGTAAATTAGAGGGTGCAGCTATTTGTAGTCTTCCTTTGGTTTTAAGCAGAAATCTTTGAGGAAAGGTTTTCTTAGAAGAGAACAGAAATTATGTGCTTTTGTTGTCCAACT